GTATGACTTTGTCTTTTCAAGAAAATGGAAGCAAAAACCCCTCTAATCCGATTCTTATAAAGATGGCAACACTATGCGCTCGTTCACCCTTCAAGATGAGCTCGGAAATACTCGCACGTTCATGCTACTTCTTACCAAATGCGATTCTGCTTCACAGCAACACATATTTACAAATAACAATCATGATATCAGAACTTTATAATTCATTGATGAGCTTTTGTAAGATAAAACGATAAGATACTATACTACGACTGAAGAACGATCGGTTGAATTGGTCAAATCACGAATCCTTCACTATCTTAAACATCCGTATGTTCGAGCATTTTTGACAGACAATTTCACTCAACGAAAAAAGCACACAAACGATTCAGTTGAAAAACTTACGTTGTTCCTGGATAGCTCATGTACTGGCAAGTTGCAGGCGTGCATAAGTCCAACAAACTTCCCCACAGCGCATTGACATGATCGAATAAGGCCAATGCTGAAATGGACATCTTTTCGTAATCTGACTGAACATTCTGAAAAGCATTTTTTACCAAAAAAAACCTTAACCACCAATATTTGAGAAACATATTTGTGGTAAAACATTTCCACGATTGGTAGCTCGGAGCAAACTGCTTAACCTAATGAAAACGGTAGGCTGAAACCTTGAAAAGTTCAAACCACAATTTGGGGGAGACCACCGAGAATCCCATCCACACTCTGCTTAGACTAGTCCAAACTGACTTCGCAGAAAATGGCTCTCAGTGTTATTTAAAATTGATATGAAAGAATATCACTCACTATGTGTCGCTAGCCATTCCCGAGGATCAATCCCGGGAGGAAGAGCGGTGAACTTCTCGATAACCTTAAATTATGGTATGACTTGAAATTAGGAACGTTCGAACTTTGCTTTCCGTTTTAGGTAACGCACGTGGTCTTCTATCGAATCGCACACACAAAGTTCGGCTGACTGTGATTTTCGCGTTGATGATCGCTGAGCCACAGACGCGCTCGCGACGCGTTTTGTTTTCGCATCCTTGACATCCCTT